TTTAGTTACTTCACACGTCATATTTAACAACTCACAATTAAGAATAACTACAGTAGGAGTTTACTGAAGGAAATTAGCGATTACACCCAAAACAATTTTGTAATTATGCGCAGATAGCCAACAGAACACAATAACTATCTGAGTGCATACGAAACCTCAAAAAAAAAAACACTTAATAGCTGCTACTCTAAGTCACTGTTCAGGAAAGGTGGATGCCATGGAGAAGTGGTGATATATTCCGTAACTGAAGCAACCTTGGAAAATTGTGATACTTTTGAATAGCACAGCAAATATGGATTAAATATATCCAACCGCAAAATTTCAGCTCAACCACAGCAGCATTGGGACAAAAAAAATTGTAAAAATTAACAACGTTAATTGGAAAAAAGTGAAAGACGTACGATTTTGTTAGTTGGTTTGATGATGCTTAGCGAAAGGACTGCACTTCCCGCTATCCGTCGATTTTGAAAATCCACCACCCAATCTAGTGATATATGTTCCACTGTTGCTTCATTGATATTAGCACTAGAGGACGGATCGTACATGCCACAAACAGTGTGGTGCAGTAAAGTAATCCTGAAAAAGACCCATAAAGACCTGCAGGTTAAGCTAAAATAAATAGCGGCGTGCACCAGGGTAACCGGTGCGATCATGCGTTTTGCGCAATTCCGTCCAGCGGACGTTTGTCTGCTAAAGTTTTCCAATACTTTACACTTTCCTGTGTGGAAAAATAGTCGATATGTTGTCTGACTCCTAAGCTGACTGATTTTTCACCAAAAATTTGAAGTGCGAGTATTTGAAAATAGAATTTGAAACCTTGGACGGGGAACATCCTTCCAAATTTCAGTCTCCCAATTTTTCGCCTTCCGAGCAAGTGACTTTCGCGTTAAAGCTCTCGCATGGTCGTACGTAAGACCCTGGCATACTTGAGAATTAAATTTGAGTTTGTGAGGTATCTGCACAGGCAGAAAACATCCCCCTGAAATTCCAGCTTTAGTTCTCGAGATAATAATTTTCACCAACAAAACTTTCGCGGGGCCGCACAAGAGACCCAAACCCACATGAAGGCTGGATTTGATTCTGTGAGGTCGCATTCTTCCAAAATTTCAGCTTCCTATCTTTTATGGCTTCCGAGATAACAATTTTCCCCACCGAAACTTCCACTGGGACATAACTGAGAACCAGGTTCGACAGAAAACTGATTTTGAATTTATGGGGTCTCACAAGGGCAAGAAAAATTCTCGTCGGTTTTCAGCTTCTTTGCTTTCGCGGTTCTCAGAACGGTTTTCCAGCCAAAACTCTCACGGGCTATACGTGGTAATCAAGCGTATTGGGAAAGCTGAATTTAAATTTTCTGGGTCGCACGCGGGCAAGAAACATAACCATAAAATTTCGACTTTCTAGTTTCTACGGTTTATGAGATAATTTTCACGGGGCCGTCCATGTTATTCACGGGTACAGGAAGGTTAAATTTAAGTTTTCTTGGTCACACATGGGTAGGGAGCATGTCTGTAAAATTTCAGCTACATAACTTTCGTGGTTCCTGAGATAATAATTTTCTCCGCCAAAACCTTTACGGAGTCGTACGTGTCACTCACGGGTGCGAGGAGGCTGAATTTAAATTTGCAGGGTCGTACGTGGGCAAGGAACAATCCGCAAAAATTTTAACCGTCTAGTTTTTGTGGTCCTCGAGCTGAAAGTGCAGAACAAAATGCACTTGAACAAACACTCACACAGACAACTCCGTGACAATATGCGTTTTGTGCTGTTGTTACACAGCGCAAAATGCATAAAAGACATTTGGAAAACAGCAAATCAAGGTCAAAGCTCTCCGCGAGGAGTGAAAACAGCCGGAAATAGCCCGTGTGGTAGCATGTGCCAGCAGCAGCTTTCGCCTGCAAAGTTACTGGACGAGCCAGACATTAAATATTTCTTTTTAATTTTTCCCTTTTCATTTTTGTCGCAGACTTATCGGAAAACTAATTTCCTTTTTTTATTCAAACTTATATTTGTTTTTCGAGGAGGCTGCTGCGTACCTCAGTGGTAAGCAGACTGCCCTCACGTTGAAGGTTGTGGGCTCGACTTCACTTGTTGCATAATCAATCTCCCTACGGCTCATTCATCCGTAGCGAAACTGGTATTGGCATCAGTACGCGGCCTAAACCGTTTTCAGCTTACTTCCAAGCAATCCTTGAAAGAAGCCATCAGTATCTCTGCTGCCAGCTGCTTGCTGTTGCATGTGAGCTCTTCAATCGGGACTACTCCATAGTGCCTCCGCCTCTCATAAAGAGTGAATACAAAGAGAGTTTTGACTTTTGACGAAAATAGGAGCATTCGAAAACAGCCTAAATGATTTTAATACCAACTGTTTACTAACAAAACTATTGATGCTCCCTTCTGTTCCAATGTTTAATTAAGCACCACAAAAAATTCTAAATGCAGTTTTTTCTGCATCGACCAAAGCCTATTTTACGGCAGTATGCGAAACCCAGAAATTAACATTTTTCGAAGTGAAGCGTCTGCCTAAGTTGTTTAACAAGGAAATATTCTTTTTTTCGATATTTTCTAAATCTTCCCATGAATCACTTTTTTTTTTACTTTGTTCCGTCGCGCAGTAATGCCAAAACATTGAATTGTGTGTAGTTTGCCCACC